CCCAATTTGTTTGTGGTGGTCCGTAACCGCCAAAAGGTTGGAAACCAGGCGGTGGCATCCCAAAAGGCGTTGCTCCGAATTGTGTTGCAATCGGATTACCAAACTGATTTGGCATTCTATGCTGCATAGGGATCATATTTGGTGGTGGTTGCATTATATTTGTGTTTACCGCTGGTGTATTTATTGGTGGTGTATTGGTAACTGTTGTGGGTGCTGTGCCTAACATTTCAAAATTTCATCTCTTAATAACAATATTTTAACATAAATTTAAAACACTTGAGTGTTAAAATAAACACATAACGCTCAAAAACATTTTCAAAATATATCAAATTACCATTTGATTGATTTGTTTCAGATGTTTGATTACTGACATCTGGTGCATCATTTAATGTAGGTGGTGGTCCGGTGCCAGGAGGTGCTGTACTTAATTGATTAATAGCATCTGTATTATTAGAAGACGATTGTTCACCGCCTTGAGAGATTCTGTTTTCACTAATCTTGGTCGGTGTACTACTTGACGGAGTAGGTGTGGTAGAACGTGTTGCCGCTTGTTTTGATGCACCATGTACTAACTGTTCCAACTGCAAAATCATGAGACACTTTGTTAAAAATTGTTCTAAATAAATCGTTTTAAATCTTGTTTAAACGAACAAAATAAACTTTTAATTTTATACGACAAATAAGTAAACTTACCTTTGTTGTAACATTGCTAATTGTCAATTTTTTGAAATATGGTTCTTTTATTTATACTTCATTCCCTTGCCTGTATTTTACCCGCGTAAAAATATATATCAATAAATAAAATATATCAATAAAACTAATGGTAAAAAAGAAAGAAATACAAAAGATAATAAATATAATTTTATTGATATTGAAAAGATATACGACCCAGATATATAAAAAAGTAAGATTATTTATAAATAACAAAAATAGCATTAATTAAAAATACAAATCGAAACTCGCATTTATTTACCTGATCTTGTACCATGACCTTTACATTTGGTCCCTCTGGCTTAGTCCATGTGGTGTCTCTCGTACGAATATTATAATAATACGACTTGCCATCAGCCGCTTTCGTCTCTACCCATACTTCTCCGTTGAGATCTAGACCTGGAATGTTTGCTTGCTGTTGTGGTTGTTGAGGTGGCTGCTGTTGTCCTGGAATCTATGGTATACATTTCATTATTTCAGGAAAATATTCTTAAATGCTTTTTATTATTCATTTCTTCAAAAACAACAAGCATATAAATAAAAGTATGCTATCTACAAGTTACATTATCAAAAACAGATAAAGAATAATATTGGCAGTACTAAAGTAATTAAAAAGTATATTTTTCATTACACGTAACTTACGCTGTTCATGTTAGGTGGCCCCATTCCAGGAGGTGGTCCATATGGACCTGGTCCTGCACCCATGGGGCCATTCATCATATGTGGTGGTGGCTAAAGCAATAATTAGATTTTAGAGTTAGAAATCGATATATATATATATATATATATATTCGTAATTATTAAGAGATTCAATAACATACCATTCCTGGAGGTCCCATCAAGTTCGGAGGTCCCATGAAATTAGGAGGTCCCATCGGTCCCCAGCTGGGATCAAACGGTGGTGGTCCACGAAATCTTGGCCCTGCTGGACCAGGCGGACAATTTGGCCTTGGTGGAGCTTCGAAAGGAAAGCCATTGTTTGCTCCACGGAACATTGGCCCACGAGGTCCAAATCCTCTTCCTCTAAACCTTGGGGACCCACCTCTCATAGGGAAATCAAACCCACCTCTGCCACGACCCCTTAAATTATTTTTAAATGTTGTGACTAGATATCTTAGCGTTCTACCATGCCACTTAGAGGAAGGAAGATCAGAAGTAGCTTTCCGAATCTTACTTGACTCTTAAGAAAAACAAAAAGAAATGTTCCGCTCCACACGCTGCGGATCTGATCTGCTCGCGTCAGGCACCACGCATACTCGCGCAGTAACGCTTCTATGAAGAAGTACTACAAAGTTGCTTGTAAAAAGATCATAGCATTAGTTAATTAAATCCCGCGCGAAGACGCGAGGGGCCTTCGCGCGAGCCGGTGTCGGTCCAAAAATAAAAAAAAATCCGACATTCCTTGTATCTCATCTGCAAGGACTAGAGTAAAAAAACACGTGATGGATCGGGACGTTGTCAATTCTTGAATTAGACAGGATAGATTAGATGAAAACAAAACGGGAAGAGAAGAGCATGCAAGGCTGAAGGAGAGTATGAAAGAAAAGATGCGGACAACACCGTGAAAAGATCGCTGCTCGCGGAGCCGGAATACGCGACGCGTCGCGATACGCACCGAAAGCCGCCTCGGCCGCGCGGCATGAAGTGCCTGTAATCATCGCCCTCATAGTTGTACTCCTCTGTCTCCTCCATTGCCTCGTCATTGTGCTCCTGCTCGTTGGCGGAGGCAGACTCGGTGGCCGCGATCGCGGCCGGCTGCTCGCTGTTCGCGTCCATCTCTCGACAGAACGATCTCGACAAAAGTGGAAAACAACGGAGAGATCAACAAACAAGCTGGGCACGTCACGACGGAGAAGACCCGTCTCACACGCCCATTCGCTATCGCTTCACTCGTTATCAATCCCTCTGGCTGATCTTCGTCTAGCGCAGAAAAAAAACGCCGCGGACAAATTACTATTCTACGCGGATACGGGCCGTAAACACGTCGTTGCAAACCACTGCAAACACACGCGAATTCCCCTAAACGCGCCGGCGTGGCAAGCATCTACGGGGGTTCCTAAAGCCCGTATCATCGACTATACCTATTGAGAACCTCGCTCATTGGCCATTGGGATTTGTCCCGTTGGTCCCGTGGTGCAGGAACAGGAGTGGAGGAAATGAGACGGCAGATTGGATTTTTCAAACTCGGTCTAGTGTTTTTCGCTTCTTGAGAAATCAAGCCATGTTTGAGAGCGCAATTTATATTTCGTAACCACTACAAAGAGAACAAGAAATTTGATGTCATATTGACCGATTATTGATCGAATTTATATCAGTTTTTATAAAGGCTTTTACCATATACAGGGTGTCGCGACCTTTTTTGCTAATTACTTTTGTGATAGAGCGGACTAAACTGAGTCGAAAAGTCCTCTACCATTTTGCAATTTTCGCAATAGTTAACAAGATATTAATTACTAAAAATTGCAAAATATTGGTCTTAAATAATTTTTTACTCAAATACTATCAACTTTACAGAAAAACTGCAAGAAATAAAAATTTTTTATTTTCTTTTCATAAAGTTCTGAGAATTTTTTCGGAATTTTTTAATACCGTATTTTCTCATGTTGATAAAAATAAGAAAATGCAGTACTAAAAAATTGATAAAAAATTCTGAAAAAATTCTTAGAACTTTATGAGAAGAAAATAAATAATTTTTGTCTCTTGCAGTTTTTCTGTAAAGTTGATAGTATTTGAGTAAAAAATTATTCAAGATAAATAGTTTGCAATTTTTAGAAATTAATATCTTGTTAACTATTGCAAAAATTGCAAAATGGTAGAGGACTTTTCGACTCAGTTTAGTCCGCTTTATCTACACAAAAGTGATTGGCAAAAAAGGTCGGGATACCCTGTATATAATTTAGTCAGTATAACTTATTATTTTGACTTTCCAATTGTTCTCCTTGAACATGAGCGTTTACGCCATTCATTATAATCACGATTAGTTGCTGATAGAGTTCTGAATATTAATATCTAGATATCTAGATGTTATTATTAATGACGTTACACAAGTGATTACAACATTAATTATTTGTTACTAAAGGCTTTGGCATTCAGGAAAAAAATGTGAGAAGAAAAAAAAGAAAAAGTAGAATAAATTTCCATGAAGTAATAAAATATATTAGTGAGAAAAAAGTAAAAATAAAAATATATATTGTATGAAATATTAACCGTATCATAAAAAGTGCCATGCTATTTATATTTATTCGTATCATAATTTAAAAAGTAATATTTTTTTTTTCTAGGTATGAAGTATGTAATGTGAATTTGTCATCAGATTTCAACAGTACTCTTAGTTAATATTGCAAAGTTTTGTGATTGTATTTATATCAAGTTATATGTAATCTATAATATGAACACAATTAATCGGTATCGCTAAGCTTACATTATGTGCAGATTCCTACTCTGTAATCCTTAACAACAGTGTCGATGTTGTTATATTGAATCTGTTCACGTTGTTTAAAATCTCCAAAAATTTTTGCATGTAAAACTAGATATATAGGCATTAAAAAAAAAAAGAGAAGATTCTGAATGCAAAAAGTTCAAGCAACGCAAACAAATTATTATATATATTATCATTGCACAGATTTTTGTATAAGTCCATTTCCCCTCTAGAGTGTAAATGTCTCTTTGTCTCCAAAAATATCAAACATATCTATTTCACTTTAAGTTCCAAAAGTAAACTGTTCAGCTACAAAGAAAACAAAGCTTATATAATATCCAAGCCCAATATCCGAAAAATCAGAATTCGGTAATGATCACACAAATTCATTTCCATCTATTTCAATTCCTAAGGGATTGAAATAAATAGAAATGAATTCATGTATGCATTTCGGAATCCAAAATTCTGACTTTTCGGATACTGGGATATATAAGCTGTTTTTTTGTAGCTGAACGGTTTATACTTTTGGGACTTAAAGTGAAATAAATATATGTTTGATATTTGTGGAGACAAAGTTTTACACTATTATACTAAAAAAAAAACTGCTCAATGACAATATAACTCAAATAGCACAGCAACGCTTAAAAAAGCGTTTCTGTACTCTTTTTTAACATACAATTAAAATATTAAAATATACAATTAATAATTTATTAATAAATATATAATTAAAAATATTGTATATTATATGTTGAATTGAAGGAATCTTAATTTTTATACACTTTTTTTTAGTGCTTTCTTAATGCTTTATAGGCGATGTAAGCTACTTGGCAATATCGACACTATCGTTAAAAATTACAAAATAGGAGCTTATAGTGTGTTTATAGTACATTTATTATACTACACAGTATAGTATACTATAATTATTATAATACATTTTTCTCACTTTGCATTATGTGGAATTTCATCTGAACGCAAAACATAATTCATTGTCGATTGATGCAATGTCATATCATTTCGTTTTCAATGTTCTTTTTGGACCTTTTTCTAGAAATTCTTCCAGCATTTTCGCATACTTTTCATTATAGGCAATACATTTTTCCAAATCATCATCATTTGGAGGCATTGGCCAGTTTGTGTTAGAATATGGTGTTACTTTGAGACTTTCAAACGAACCATCCTCTTGTCGTACAGCTAAACCAATTATTGCAGGACTCGATATCATTGCCGCTGATGAAGTCAATCCACATTGAAACAACTGTGCAGTAGAATCGGATAATTCCTGATATTCTTCAAGATGACCATTGTTTAGAAACATGATAAATAGCCGTTGATCCTGTGGCTGTACTTTAAATATAGCTATAAAATATATTCATCTCAATATTAACGTGTTTATTGAAGTAAAAATCGTGTAATTCATCGCACTAATATATCAAGAAAATGTTTCTGCTATTTACATCTCTGCCTATTAATTTTTGAGGTATCACATATGTCTTACTTTCAATCATTTTCTTGAGCTCAATAACTTGAGTACTCTCCGGCACATCGAGGTATAAAGTCATCTTTTTCCGTCTAATTATCAAATACACAGTTGTTACATGTTTACTATCACATATTTCTTGCTGTTTATTATCATCATCGCCTAAAACCTCCTATAAAGATATTCTTAGAAATTAATTGATTTGGAAATAAAATGTATTTGTTAATCAAATAAAGCAAAATGGATTAGAAACTTACCATTATATCTAATTTAATAAAGTTAAGATCAATCAATATATTCTTCCTAGGACAATAATAGAGACCTATATAAAGAACTGTGTGTTTATCAACAGGTTAACAATGTTGACAAATTCAGTCATTATCATTTGTGTGCTTTTGAGATAAACATCGTACATACTCCTTAACAATATAATATTATCATCTTTATAATAAAGATTTGAAACTTAAAAAAAAATATATATATATATATATTGTTAAATTTTTATATATTCAGCTACGAATATATAGAGGTGAATTTAATATAAATATGAAATGAATCGTTACTTATTTTAATAAAACATCATCCTTTATTCCTTTTCTTATTCTTCCATTATATTTTGTGAATGCTTTCGCTTTTGAAATCGAACATTCACGTTTCAATTAAAAAAAAAAGCCTAAACACGCCATTTGAAAATCTCTCGTTCCAACCATAGAATATGTACGATGTTTTAAAGATATCAACATGGCTAAGAAATCTCTCGAGATGACGATTTTACATAATTTTGATTTATATGTAGAAGAAACAAATTTACATTCACATAAACATTAACTTGAAAACTGTAATATAACTATACGAGTGTTTTCTCTGCACGTGCTGCCGCATCGAAAAAACTTGAACGATTCGAATTACCTTTTCTTGAATTTATTCAACGCCGTGTAATTTTCAAGTATCAATAATTATCTTCACAATACTTTATATTCTTTATAATCCTCTAGAACGCAGCTGCGAGAAAAGGAATCCCGCGAAAATATGTGTAGAAAAAATCTGCAAAACTCGTAGAAAAAAATTGTTGGAGTTGTTAATAACGCTTCGAGAGCAACACGACTACCAATTGACTATCCTGCATGAGGAAAGAAAGTCAAATCTGAGGTAAACCGAGGTTCATTCGTTGTCGCGTCCATCGATCCCACGTGCGCAATTTATGAAGAATAAACCATGGTGGAATGGAACAAATTTTAAAATGGGGGGTAGTAAAAAATCCAATCTTAAATTTAAAATTGTCAAAGAGATCATACAATCTATATTAAAATATGATCTATTATTTACAATCTATTAAAATCGTACAATCCAGAAACATACGTACGTTATGCAGACATTTCATTGGTTGGACAAAATCTTAAGGCTAGACTTGTATTATAAAATCGAACTGTGAAATATCGCCCTTATGTTTATGTAGCCTCTTCAATAACACGACACACGTACACTTTGCAAAGCGGGAAAGACGCCTCACATGGCGTGTGATATCTCATTTGCTTATATTTAAATAAATATCGCGTGTATTTCTAAGTACTATCAAACAATACGAATCAATATTGAAAATATCAAGAAACATAAGTCCTTAACATCTATAGAGAATAACGAAAACACTGAAAAAGAGATACGGGTAGAAAGGTTAGAATTGAATGTAAGATATGTAGACGAAATGTGGAGTAATCGTAGGAAATAATTTATAATACTCAGCTTCGCTTACATATCTTATACTATATAAATATAGTATTGCAAACGATCTTTGTATAAATTTTTATTTCATCGGATATCAATGGGTGCATTCAGCAGAAAAGAGCGCTACTAGAGCGCTCGCTGTTATTGGTGTATTCTTTTAAATCATCCAATTAGAATTTTAGATCTGGAAGAATACACCAATAACAGCGAGCGCTCTTAGTAGCGCTCTTTTCTGCTGAATGCACCCAATGTCGCGAATACGTTTTTAAGAGAAAATAATATAACACAGCTTTTCGAGGGGCATCCTGGGGGGATGTCTCTGTGTTGTATAGGAATTGTTGAAGAGTAATTAAATGCAATTAGAAGATCAAATATATCTTTTAGTACTTATTGAATTTGTTTACAATTTTAATATATCACATAAATGCACAATATAATATAAATACATAGATTGGAGCACATTATTGCGTTGAGTCAAAGTGACCTACAATGTAAGGTTTAAGATAATTAAATGTTCTTTTTATTGTATATAAGATATTTTTATTAATATAATAAATGTACAGTATATGAAATTCTTTTTATTGTACATAGAATATATTTGTTAATAATGGTGCACACAACTGATGAATCCATTAAAAATCTGCCTTCAAGACTGGAAAATGAAAATTCACAAGAATTTAAAAGACAGGATGTACAATATGAAGACTTGTCCAGTGATTTTGATAATAAATCGATTGATTTCTCCAGGCAATTCTGTAGCATATATGCAGTAAGATTGGCAGAGTTGAGAGAGATATTAATTCCACGAGTTGTTGCAAAATGGGGTGAGTTTTATGTACTATTAATTTTAATGAAATTCTACTTAATTAAGTTAAGATTTTTATACACAAATATTTTGTGATTTTCAATATAAAATCAAGTAAATAAAAATTTTATCGTCTATATTTTTTTTCAGGAGATGTTCAAATAATAAAGTTAGCAGAATTGGAAGATTTTGAAAGACAAGAATGTGTGATAATTGGTACACTCTATAAACATCAAAAGTGTAAGCCATCGATATTACATGAATTAAGCGAAGATCATCAACTCACATTGTCTGAACCAAAATCAAACTACTGCTCAGAACAGGATCAACTTTTTTTGGAAGATGAGATGCTGCGCATCAAATTAGTGATCGAAGATGCAGATTTAAAGAATTATGTCACAGGTGTTGTATGTGCAATTTTAGGTCACAAAGACAAGAACGGCAGTTTTGAGGTATGTAAGTGGATTAAAATTAAAATACATATACATATATCTACATATGATATTTTATTCAGATCAAGGAATGGTGTTTTCCTGGTTGCATGCCTAGAAGTTTATCTGCACAGCCAAAGTCTAAAGGAAAGCTGGTATTCTTATCTGGACTTGACTTGGCAAATACTTCAACGAACTTATCGTTAAATCTTTTAACCGAATGGATATGTGGGATGGCGGGAGAAGCAGCGGCGCAAGAAGATGCCACTGACATTGTTCGAGTTATTATTGCTGGTACATCGGATCTTTAATGTCTCTGATAATCGCATTCATTTTCACACTTTAGTATTACTGAATCTTATATAGGTAATTCGGTCAAAACTGTCACTAAGACAAATACTTTAATGGGACACGCCGAAGGAAAGGCACAAGACGCCGCTATAACGAAGGAAGTCGCTAAGGCAACGACACTTGCAGATTCATTTCTCTACGAAATAGTAAAATGTTGTTGCATTATTGTAATGCCAGGTCAACACGATCCTACCAACGCAATGTTGCCACAGAGACCACTTCATCCATGCATACTACCATTAACGTCTAGGTATTATATAAATATATATATCGATTACAACAAAGTCTAAATATATATTCCAACTTCTCAGTCAAGATAAGATTACACAATTCTTTAGAGTTACTTGAAAATTTTTTGTCTATTTTTTTATAGCAAAGAAATATATATGATTTTAGTTGTTTTGCAATTTATTTATAAAGACTTTGGCAGCATTACAATAATTCGAAATTAATACATAATTTTTTTTTATTTTTACGGATTTATAAGACTTTCCGTCCTAAATCCAAGTACAAATACAGTTCTAATAGAAATAATACGGTATTTTTCAGATTTCAAAGCTTTAAAAGTGCGACTAATCCGTGGATCGGCAAAATCGCTGAACGTATAATAATGGGCAGCAGCGGACAGCCTATTGAAGATATTATAAAAGCAACCGGTGAGACAGATATTGCTCCTTTAGATTGGTTGGAAAAAACGCTGCTTTGGAAGCACATGTGCCCGACTGCACCAGACACATTACCAGTATATCCTTACTCTGTAAAAGATCCATTTATCATAAATTATTGTCCGGATATATACTTTGTGGGTAACACAGATAAATTTGAAACGAAACTGTGGAAAGGTAATTTAATATTATAGAAGAGATAAATACTACATTAAAAAATTAATATTTCCTCATATTTACAATATTAACTAAAATGCATTTAACACTTGTAGGTGAAGAAAATCAGATGGTTAGGCTAATTTGTATTCCAAAGTTTTCCTCTACACATATTGCAGTTATGGTAGATATAGAAACTTTGGATACTGAATTTATTTGTTTTGGAACTGAATGAATGTATACATTTGAATAAATTCACGATTTATACAAGACATAATTAGATAAAAATAGATAATCTAATTATACATGACATTTTTTTATTGACAGATTATGTCACTGCCGCGTTAATCTACATTTTTGTATATTTATTATAAAAAAAAATTTGGAAATAAAACAATTTTATATTTCGATAATTCTACATTTAATAGTAGATCTTCTTCGGTTGCGTCTTATGCGTATACAATTGTGTCAAAACGTGTATCTTCTCTATAATTATTTATCGATATAAGTTAATGCAAGTCGAAAGAGAAGTGAAACTTAAAAAGATGCAGAATTGGATTAAACTATCAAAATTTGTTTTGTGATGTCAATCATTGTTACAATCGAGAAATGCTGATGATAGATAATAATCACGAAATGTTTGCATAAGAATTTGCATGTTGTAAAAGAAAGAACAATTTCTGTTGTCACCTATTTTTATTTGCATCTCGTAAAAGTGATATACAAAATTGAAACGCATGCGACTTTTAAGAATTCGTAGACATTTTGCCTGGTTATAAAACTTTTAATACGAAAGAAAATACATGTAGTATCACAGACTATTAGAAAATTGCGAAATCACAGTGACACAAGACTTTATTTATATGAACGCTTAAATTAACAAGTGAATATATACTTCACAAATTATACCAATGATAAGAACATAACAGTCAAAATACAGAGCGTCAGAATTTAACTAATAACACATTTTTAATATTAGTAGTTTCTACATCAAATTTCACACGCTATGTCAAGAATATCTTTTATGATACATAAATTTACAATTTCTCTTTTATAATTTTATTTTTTATAACGTTATCCTTACCTGTGTGTATAATGTAATAGTAATATCTTAAGACACGACTCGGTCATATACGAAAATTAAAACAGGATTATCTTAATTCTAAAAAAAAATCTATGCTTAAAGAAACTGATTTTGACTGTTACATAAATTACGTTTGCGAAATTAGGTGCAAAAATTACGTTACGGACAATGTACAAGGATTTAAATACAAGTTTTGATATAATATAAGTAAAACTGTAACGTACATTAAGCATTTGTAATATTAACATTTCTTGTAGAGTATGTCACGCAGACTGCGATATATCCTTCTTTTTCACAAAATAGAAAAAGCATGTATATATTGGAAGGTACACAGTGCTACAGAATAATTCGATTGGCACTTTTATTTAAAGTGAAGAGCTTCGATCGCAAACATAAATATAGTTTTGTACAAAACCGCTCAATTTGTCATGAGATTCCACTTCTTTCAGAGAATTAATACTATCTACTATTTGTGTAACAGAGCAAAAAATCAATAATGCATATCCTAAACGTAATATGACGTTAAAGTTCTAATGCTTTGGCCAAAATAGCAATACTTAAAAAAAAGTAATAATAATTAATTAAGGTTTTTCCATTAATTTAAGCAGAGAGAATGAAGTTATAAAATTTATATTTATAATACACTTTACAGGTTCATAATTAACTTAAGGTGCAATGTTACATGACCGATAGGTATATATAACAATTGACAGGTAGCTTCTGCATATATATATATGTATATATATATAGTAACGACGTAGACATACTGTACTTATTAAGAGTTTTATATCCTATCTTTTAGCCGTCGGACGTATTCTCTCCTTTTCAGTGTCTCTATCATCAGCTACTGTCCACTCGGGATCATTGGGATCCTCACCGTCTATATCGCAACAAGCCGATTCGGTCGAATCCGATTCGGGAGAATCCATTTCAGCTTCCTAGAAACGTAGAAATACAAATAGTTAAACACGACCGTCGTCGTCGACAATTACTTATTGGTCCAATTGGTCGATTTGCGAAAAAATTCTATTTAAGGTTGCAAGCTCTCATACGGCAGCTGCGTGAACCAAGGAGCAAACTAGAGTTGTGTAAAAGATTCTATAACGTATAGAAAGTAACGGTCGCGTTAATTTAACGCGATATTTTTTCATCGTTAAACATTTGCTAATTGCGTGTGTCTATGTGTATGTGAGATGAAAAATAAAATGAATTACGTTACAGAAGTATGAAGCGTCAAGTGGTACTGCTTACCGGAAATAGCCTCGAGAGGAGCCATGAAAGTTGGCTCAAAGTGTATATTAATAGTCAGTACTAGCACCCACATACATTTTATATAATTAAATTTTCTCACTTAGATACTCGATGCAAGAGATATTAGTACAAGTATAACGTACGTACATCATCACCCTTATCTTCCTCGCGGGAACATAAAGACGTCGACGAAGCTTGCCAGTGTCCGTCCGGCATCGCTTCCAACATCTTGTCATAAACTTCTTCAGATAATGGGAATACTCTTGGATCGTACGGCAATATCTGTACGAAAATTTCAGGAACATTACAATATCACGTGATATTTATTTAAACGATATGAGATATCATTACCGCGTGTCCTTACCTCGTTGTCATCTTCGGTAAATGCGGCCGTGGCATCGTCTTTTCCAAGTCTCAAAGAGGGCATAGTGCGACGTCGCAAAGAATTTTGTAAAGCAGACGATCGGTGCGAATCTAAACCCGATAACTCTGTGTCCTGCACCTGAGACGGAGTGGCAGGTGGAGACGTGATTGGAGACGTCACGTTTCCACCAAAGTCACTGCTCGCGTGCGGCGACATAGGATCTAAAAGAGAATTTGTTTTTTCCCATAAAGATATAATTTCATCGATTTTTTATTAAATAGTTATGCCGAAGACAACTAATTAAAAAATTATCTTGAAGAAAAAAGATAATATAATTGAAATAATGAACAGCTCATAATAACGGCATGATAAAAATTCATGATAAACGCGCGGGGCAATATACCTGGCGTGTTCGCACCGCTGTCTGCTCTGCTATCGATACGACGATTATGACGAATACGTGTTTGGTTTGGCGTGTATGTCCTACGTTTGTATTCCTCGCGTTCGCTACGTTCATGCCTCAGGGCAATCGTTTCGTCCGACAAATCTTCAAACTGTCAGTCATACGATCATTGAATTAACAGAGTTACAAAAGAGGAAATAGTAAGTTTCTTCATTTTTTTACTGCGTTGATTTTTATCGCATATAAGCGATTATCTCATTATCTACTTACGTCACTGTCCTCATCAGGCCTGTGCATCACACCGTTCTTCACATCCATTTTCGCGGATTCCTCACGCACTCTCCACCTTTAATGATAAAAAAAAATAGAGAAATGCTTTAATGAAACAATAATGATGTCAAATTAAATTAAATTTGTTTAAAAATTGAAATAACTGTGAATTATAAATATATATCTTACTTTGGTGTTAATATCTCCTTATATTGTAACTTTTCAGGTCTAGTTGAAGCAGCGACACTATAAGGGATGACTATATTATCGATGTCGTACGAGTTTTGTCGCAAACGCCTGAAAAAAAATACATATATACATATATATATATATATATATATTACAAATGAGTCATGGACAGTTCGTGAAATGATATTTTAGTATTTTGTTTTGAATTGATAAGAGTGATAGCGACTGATGATTTCATGAATATGAAAAGTAATTAGCCTCCATTTTATATTCTCAAGTAGGTACTCGTATTCCATATAATGGAAAACTTCGCGTGCGGGATCGATATAGTGATCTCGTTAATGGAAGAGTAATCGATGCATAAACGATGCATCAAGCAACGCTTACCCATGTGAATTGGAACTTTTCTCTTTAACAACGTTTTTCTCCGTCGAGGCAGTAACGTGTTGCAATGGAGAAGGCACTGGAGATGAGTGTTTGCTGGAACTTGAAAGTGCGCTAACGTCGTCGTCATCCTCAGTCGGCAACTTTGATACTTTTTTCTTATTCAATCCAGGCACGCTTCTCTCGTGACTGAGTCTATTTCTCTTTTCATTTTTTAACATTTTTCTCTTAATCCCTGTTAAAAGAGGTATACGTTATTTCACACCAGAGAAAAAACAAGAGTGATTCACTCTTTTAATAAGTAAAAACATAGATTGTGCAAAATGACTTCCTTGTAATACGTACGTGCTGTAAGAATAGTAGAGGATGATTTCTTTAATCGCGCGGTATACTTCGTTCTATTAGGAAGTTTCTTATTTCTTCGTTCGTTGCTATCTTTATCTTTCACTCGGGTAACTCGCAAATTGCCTCTCAACATTTTCTGCTGCCACTCCACTGATTTCATAATAGCTTCTAAATGTGTTCCATGTACAATTTCTACAATAAACAAAAGATGTGACAGATAGTCAGAGAAATTTTCGTTATTGTTCAACAATTTTTTTTTGCACTTTTATTAAAATTTATTTAAAAATTTAAAACTACAGGAAAGACTAAGGGTATAGACACAATAGAAGAAATAAGGAATAATGATTTCAACATATCAGAAATCAGATACACTGGAATATTTCTGAATATTATCATAAGAGTCTTTTTTCATCAATCTCTTAAGCTAATTGACAGTTAACTCGAAGTGTCAACGGGCAGTTAATGCATCTCATTTTCCTCTCTCTCTTCCTCTTTTAAGACAACTGTTAGCACTACTGCGAGTTAACCGTTAGCTTAACCGAAAATTGATGAAAGAGACTCTAATAAACTGTAAACGTGTACAGCGCATGAACTTTCCTAAGGCATATTTTTTTTTGATACTCCAGAACTGAACTTCTTTGTATGATTTATTTTTTATCTTTTTCTCTCCAATGTAAAAAGAAAAAACCTGAACTGTGGAGGAAGTTCAATTTTGAGATATTGAACAAAAGAAGCCTCTAAATCAGACTTATCCAATTTTAGTTCCGGGGCCAAAACACAAGATTTCGAGAACTGTAAGGTGCTGATAAAGCATTGTTGATGGCTGTGCATTTTGGCTCCGGAGCTAAAATTGAACAGACTTACTCTAGATTGTATACACATATTATATCCTTACAACATATAGATATTTTGTATTGAATAAAGCAAGAATTTTAACAATGAAATTTTTATTACATTTACAAATAAACATACCATCAGAGAATGACAACACCGGATGAAAACTGGAATCAACAAGTGCTACACGTTCCTGTACAGAAAGCTGTTCAATTGGTTCTTGTGGCTGCATTGGATCTAGCCTTCCTGTACATAAAGCACATGCAGGCAATACATGATCACAATTGCATCTCACTGTTGACGCTTTAGCTGCACGCTTTGAAACTTCGTGTAGCCTGTCGACTTGCAAAAGCTTTCGCTTTCTATAAAAATTCCATACAAATGGACGCGTCCTACTAGCTGGTAATTCGCCCTCGGACGAATTGCATCGTCCAGTGGAACCTGGTAGAGCGCCACTGTATCCATTAACGGTTTCTGCATTTTCAAGAACGACCAGGCCTTTCGCGGCCCTAACCTGCCGTTGCAGATCGTTATGCTGTCTAATTTTGTATTCTAAATCTGATATCTGTGCCTGTAGCCAGATCCACCGTGATGCTACACCTGCACGATCCTGTGCATATCTCCATGCTGCTCTTTTCGATCTGTGCAAATAATGTAACAATACGATTGGCCTACTGATTTGCAAAATTAAAGATCATACGTTGTGTAACAAATCAGTGTAGCCTATTATCGTAAAAACTAGACGGAATGTCGCGACATTAGAGAAGTGTTATGAACTCGACAAATTTTATAATAAATTATTATTTTCAATCTTACCACTTTGTTTTACAGAATTACTTTACTCAAACATAATATGCACAATATTATTGCAATTACAGACAAAACACGCGTTAAATCCGCATGTCAAACATTAAAATATTATGAACGCGTTTTCGAAACAGAATATTTCATAAATAAACAAACAATAAAGAATACAGAACCGAGCCAAAAAACATATTTCGGTCCATTTTCTTCAACTGCAATGATTAACTTATTATTTATTATACAGGGTGTCCCGAACTTTTTTGCCAATCACTTTTGTGTAGATAGAGCGGACTAAACTGAGTCGAAAAGTCCTCTACCATTTTGCAATTTTTACAGTAGTTAACAAAATATTAATTATTAAAAATTGCCAAATATTAGTCTTAATAATTCTTTACTCAAATACTATAAACTTTATAGAAAAGCTGTAAGAGACAAAAATCATTAATTTGCTTCTCATAAAGTTCTGAGAATTTTTTCAGAATTTTTTATTAACTTTTTAGTATTGCATTTTCTTATTTTTACCAATAGGAGAAAATACAGTATTAAAAAATTCTGAAAAAATTCTCAGAACTTTATGAGAAGAAAATAAATGATTTTTATCTCTCGCAGTTTTTCT